CCCCAGAAAAAAGTCCTCCCTGAAATTCGAAATCTGAGGCTTTCCAGTATTCTGTAAGAATCAGATTTGTTCAATCGAAATCTTAACTGTTTGGAGTGGGTGCTCAGCCTGATGGTTGAGATGCCCACATCCCACATTGGAGTTCATGGCTTTGATTCCTGGGTCTGGCTTCCTGTTAATGCAGAGCCTGGGAGGCAGCGGATGATGGCTCAAGTAATCGGATCCCTGCTTCCCACATGGGAGACCTGGATTGTGTTCATGGCTCTTAGCTTCACCCAGCTTTTGTGGCATATGGGTAGTGAACCAGCAGACATCTCTCTCTCTCTCTCTCTCTCTCTCTCTCTCTCTCTCTCTCTCTCCCTCCCTCCCTCCCTTTCTCCCCCCTCCCTCCCTGTCTCCCTCCCTTCCTTCCTCCCCCCTCCCTCCCTTCCTCCCCTCCCTCTCCTCCGTCCCTCCCTCTCAAATGAAATGCGTAAGATTTCACAAACATCTTAAGTGATTTGCATGGAATCCAGCAGAAAAGATCCGGCTGGAGCAGGTGGGAAATCTCTCACTGCAAACATCCTCTGCCTCCCTCCAGACTACCAGATGTGTCTGGCTGGTGGTGGAGTGAGTCCTTGTTCGAGAATCAAAATCCGGGTTCCAGGCCCTTCTTCAGTAGCCCACAGGGGTAGTGGTGAGGAAACAGGGCTGCAACCCTAGATTCTTGGGTTTGAAGTACACCGAAGCTCGCCCTGTGACCTTGGGCAGATCCCCCTATTTCCATGACCCTCAGTTTATCTGTAAGATATGGGTAATGGTGGTTACCACACAGTGCAGGTGCAAGGTCTACAAAGACCTGGCATCAAGTGGGTCTCCATGAGCGACTCAGCTATGTTTGCTCCTGGAAGCCTGGCTCCTTGAGGCTGTGGCCTTTCCCACTGTTTCTCAGCTTCCCCTTCCAAGCCCTGTGGTCAGCACAGTATCTACCTGCTCGGTGGTGATCACGTGAAAACAGCTTTCCTGCTCTCGGGAAACAGACGGGCGTGGGGACACATTGACGGGCACAGTGAGCAGAGCTGCATCCGGAGTTTGTGCACTGGGCTAGCCCTGGGGGTTACCCTCAGGAGGGCTCAGAGAGGCTGGGGTGGCAGTAGGGGGGAGGGGGAGTGCAATCCCAGAATGCTAGATCAGGGAGGACGTGAGCAGCTGGCAGCCACACGGGGGCGCCATGGAGCACCCTGGGAGAAGGAGCGTTAAGACTTCCGTGTAATCCTGAGTGGAAGGTTGAGTGTTGTCCTGCGGAGGACGGAGCGAAAGGAAAGGCACCCCCTTGCAAAGGAAGGCTGTGAGGCAAGCGGAGATGGAAGAAGAAAAACCCAGGGCCTCACGTGCCGTGGATGAGCGGAGCGAGTGCAGAGTGTGTGGAGGTGCTGAGGTCTGGACCCCGGGTTGTAGCAGCAGGAGTGACAGTGAGTGTTGGGCAAGACGCCACCAGCCCCCGCGCTGGCGACACACTAAAGTCATAGCATAGGCTCGCTCCCCCAGCCTCTCTGCCTCTCCAAAAGATAACTGATCTCCTAAAAAAGAAAAATGGTGGGTGTTTAGCCTAGTGGCTAAGATGCCCATGTCGCACCTATGAGAACCTGGGTTCAATCCCCGACTCCAGCTTCCTGCTAGTGCCGGCCCTGGTGATGGCCCTGGTGATGGCTCAAGTACGTGGGTGCCTTGGATTGAATTCCCTGTTGTTGCAGACATTTGGGGAGTGAGCCAGTGGATAAAAGTGCACGTTCTCCTCCCTCTTTCTGTCTCTCTGCCTCTCTCATTTAAATCACCCAATTCTCACAAATAGAACATGGGATGGGGAGATGGCACCAGCTGCCAGGCTTCAGGAGAACCTCCTTGGCATCCGAAGAAATAGGCAGTCGAGGGAAACCCTGGGCGGAGGCCAGCGGCAGATGTGTCTTGTCCACACCGAGAGCAGGCCCTTAGCAGAGGAAGTGCTTACCCTGTGCTCAACTGCAGATGTCCCAGGCTCAAGGGGGAGCCCAGACGCAAGCTCAGGGGGGTAGACCAGGCCTGTTCACGAGTCTCACGCGGCAACGCCGTGCCTGCCTGGTAGCAGGTGCCAGTCGGCATGTGTGGAGTGACAGTGTTCCCAGGGAGCTGCTGTCCACTCCAGATCATATCCAGGAGGTGACAGAATCACCTGAGGCACGTTCGCACAAGGTTCACTTCTGGGGCGGGGGGGTACACAAGGAAATGCGGGAATTAAAGCAGACTGCAAAGCAATGGGTGAGGAGCAGTTTCATGGCAATGACCCACATCCTTGGCTGGTGCGCGGTGCTGTCAGAGGCCCTTGAACCCCAAGCAGAGGCCTCTGGGTCAGTTCCCCAGCTAAAAAGAGAGCAGCTCCCTCCCTCCACCTCCTCTTCCTCCACAGCCCCTCAACACTACCCACGCTGGATGGTAACACTCAGTGTATGACCCACTTGCAAAAGTGTCTCACTGGCTTAAAAGAGAAACGTAATTGAGTGGCTTACACCTAATGCACAAAACTTAAAATGATATTGCCAAGGAAATTATCTAGAAGTTACTAACTGCCCCCCGCCCTAAGTAATTTGCAGGTCTTGTTCTTCAGGCAGCTTTGTGAGACTGTGTTGTGCACCCAGCTGCCCCCAGAAACGTTCTATCCATACAGAAACCAAGAGGGTCCAGACAGACAGAGCTGAAGCCCTTGGGGTAGCTGCAGGGATCATGCGGGAAACGCTTGCCACTCCCTCCCAGACCCTAGTGTTATTGGGGGAATCTCATGTCTGCCCCCAGCGTCTGGCTCTGAGGCACCCCCAGTGGCATAGTGAGCACCGGTAGGCCACCTCCATACCCACCTGCACTGGGCCCTCCTCCCAGCACCCTCCTTCCCCCAGAGGCTAGTTACCATGGCAACAGATGTCCTTGCTCTCCCACCACCCCCCCCACCCCCCGCAGAGCTCACCTTGCCCCAGCTCCCCAGGTCACCTCATCCAACTCCTTCCGCGGAGTGGGGGCAATGGGGCTCCTAGGGACGGACATCTCCCGGGGCTCAGGCACCCCCTTGTCTGGGGCCCTCTCATTATAGCCCCTGCAACTCCCAGCTGACAACCTGATAATTCTGATAGCACCGTCTTCCTCTTCGCTGCCTGACATCATCCTTCCTGCAAGAAAGACTTTGAGATAAAAGAATGAGCTGTGAAATCCTCATTAGAGCAGGGAGTAAGGTCCCCTGTGACCACTGTCTCTCCCGCGCTCCCCACCCCTCGGCCTGCCTCCCTTCTCCCTCATCGGCCCCTTCTTCTACTCCTACTCCTCCTCCAGTCTCTCCCCCTTCTCCTCTCTCAACTCTTCCCTCCTTTTCGCTCCTGTTTTGGTGCCAGGAACACACTAATTACAACAGAGAACTTGAAGAGACAGAGAGAGGGGGAGAAAAAAAGCCCACTACACATAGCTGATTAAAATGTCCTATGAAATCTAATTTGTAAAGCTCAAATCAGAATAAAAAGAGTGTTACTCCCTCTATTCAAGGCCAATTTGATTGTTAATGAGACTCCTGTGAGACCCAGCCAAGATCTCACCAGGTGGACGACCCAGCCCAGCTCCCCAGCCACACCCCATCCCCATTGGCCAAGGACCCTGCTCCTGCAGGGGCCCACTCACGCGCTCAGCTGCCGCCTCCAGCTGACACCAGCTCTCCCCTTCTTGGCTGGGGCCATCCTGCTGCTGAGAGCTCTGCCTTTGTGTGCTGCAGGCCCATGCCTTTGTGACCCCACAGGGGGCAGCAGCCATGTCCAGGACCCCTGGCCCGCCCTGGAGGGTGAGGCAAGGCTATGGTAGCAGCTTAGCCACCAGGTACAGTTTTGCCCCTGTTGTGTCTGCCATCTGCAGAGCAAGGAGTGGAAAAATGTAGACCCCAGCTCCACCCCTCATCAGCTGTGTGACCCTGGGCAGACTCCTGTGCCTCTCTGATCCTGGTCTCTTTGCGGTAGAACAGGGCTATCCCTACCCAAATGGACAAAGGGGAATGTTCAGCCAGGATGGCACCGTGAGCCAGGTGTTCGGTGACTGTCAGGGTCCCATGATCCACCCTCCGTGGCCTCCCAGGGAGCGCGGTCACCCCTTCTTCAGTAGCTGCATCCAAGGCCAAGCCAAAGAGCTGGCAACAGGGTCCTGGAGCCAGAAGAGCGTGAAGCCCGCGCTGTGGCCCTGCGGCTGGACCATGCAGTGGCCCCCTGAGGCTCCATTGCCCAGGCCCCGCCACGGGGTTCACGTTCCCAGAGAGTGCGGTTGCTGTGACAGGTGGAGGACGGCCCCCGCAGTGCGTGCTGGGGGGAGGGGGGCTGACACGCGCGGCCCCCGTAAATGATCCCCGCCTCCTTTCCTCATCTGGAAAATGGGGCTGAAAATAGTGCCTGCTATTTTTAGGTTGTTAAGAGGATGAAAGTATTAATGAGCTAATATTTTAAAACCTTAGAGCAGAGGCTGGCATCTTGTACACACCATGTGTTTGTTTAATAAAATATGAACCAATTAGCTTCGCAGGTTCCATGCTGTCTTGTTTGGAGGTGTGAATGGGGAGGCGTGGGGGCCACCGATGATTTTCCTCCAAGCTATGGTGAGGTGGAAGAAGGGTCTGCTCCAGAAAACAAAGGAAGAGCCACATGGCCACGGGCTTCCTCGGCCACGCCCTCTGCCACCCTGCACCACCATGCTCTCCTTTGCATTCCGCCCCAGGCCAGTTCTAGGAGACACTGAAACCATTATGCGATGTCTCGGGTTCTCAGGTTTAAACAGAACCACACCAGTCCCCAGCCTGCTGCCCGGCTGAGGCATGGCGGGGAGAAAGCCCTGGCTGTGGGATCTCCCACCCCCGCCATGGGAGAAAGCGTGGTCCCCTGGGGAGGTCTGGTTGGTCTCCAGCCAGCCTCCACTCTGCTCCCACAAGTGCCACCTGCACAGAACTGACCGACGTGCTGTCTCCCTCCTAGGTCAAGTCTACTCCTTCAGCCAGCAGCCACAGGACCAGGTGGTGGTGTCGGGACAGCCGGTGACGCTGCTGTGTGCCATCCCCGAGTACGATGGCTTCGTTCTGTGGATCAAGGATGGCCTGGCCCTGGGTGTGGGCCGAGACCTCTCAAGTGAGTACCCCCAGACCTCCCCAGCAGGCCTGGCACCGGCCACTGCTCTCCTACTCATGCAATTCCTAGGGCGCGCCCATGTACACAGGGCTTTGGGGATCACTGCCAAGCCCTGGGCAGGGTCAGCCTGGCAGGGGTGGGGGACACGTAGGGCCCTGCCAAGGCAACCGCAGGCAGGACTCAAAAGTCAGTAAGCCCATAGCAGGCTAATTTTTAAGTTGATAATTGTGTATGGCCTGCAAATGATGCTATAAATAATCCAAATGGCCTTTGGCAGAAAAAAAGCTGGAGGCCAGACTCCCCAGCACCACGAGGGAATGGTGGGAGCCACAGCTCGCAGAACCCAAGCCGATGCCGCCCTGGAGGCTCCACTCCAAAGCTGGCCACCATTCACCCGAAGTCTGATTTCCAGAAACCAAATGTGCCTGCTTCTTGGCCCCGTTTATCAAGGCAGGGCCTTTAAGGAAAGAGAAGTCGCCATCTGCTTCTTCCAGGCTTCCCGCTCATTAAAGGGAGCCCAGCGAACTGAAAACCCGCAAAGAAAGCTGGTCGGCCTGGGGGTCGGCGTGCGCTGGAAGAAAAGAGAAGGCAGAAGTGTCGGCGCCGAATGGCAAAGCTTGCTCAGCACTCCCCAGGCTGGCGTTCAACACCGAGCGGTGCTGCGGGCGCTCCCTGGCTGTTGTCGGCCCACGTGTGACCCACGGTGGGCATGCCAGGAGCTTCGTTAACTATTAGGAGTGCTGATCCCATCCAGACACCTTTCCCACACACCCTCTCCTCCAGGAGGAAAGACACACAGGAGCCATCCAGCCGTCGCTCCTCTGCCCCCTAGCGGGCAGGCACAGGGCAGCAGGCTGTGAGGCTTGGCATAAACAATGAGATTCAGGAGAGAGCTGGGTGTCATTCCCCTGTGAGCTGAAAGTGACTGAGGGTGGAGGAGGAGAGGAGAATGTGTATGCCGCTGGGAGGCAGCTTTGCACAGCTGCAGGAAAATAAAAAATCGAAGTGCACCCGGGGACGTGATGGCTAGGAAATTAATATTTTAAAATGTGAGTTATGTCTTGCCAAAAATGTATATTGAAACGTTATAGCATTGGTCAATAGCAGTTGCAGGGTTTGAATGCTGCAGCCCAGTGAGCATGGATAAAATACACAATGCCTGCACAGTGCACCACACTGCCGTGAGGTTTAATATGACAGGAACCTGGCGATTTCAGAGACTCTGAACTCCCTGGAGAAACTGGGGGAACAGCACGACCTCCCCCGGCTAGAACAGCTGGTGCATCAGGTGGCTCTGAGCTTGGCCTGGCGAGGTTCCCGGTGAAGGAGGCTGCCTGGGCTCCTGTTCCATAGTTTTCAGCCTCTGGTCGGGGGCCACGTGGGTCTTGTTGGGTCATTGGTCATGAGGAAGCCGCAGGTCACGAGGATGGTTCTGCAATGGTCATTGCAGCAGAGACAGCTGACTCTCTGGCGTCCAGTTTCAGGAGTGGCTGGCTGGGGCCCAGGACCCAAGTCTGTTTAACGCTGAAGAGTGATGGGCTCTGATTATCTGCTTTGTCTCCAACTTGACTTCATTTGTAGAAAGAAGATTGGCCCTCTCCACCCACACAACAAACTCCAACTCCTGAGAAAGTACTTGTGCCAAAAATAGCATCATGATAATAATGATAGATACCCACGAGATCCATTAATACTGCTTGCCTGCCCAGTAAGGAAGTGAGCATAACAGCTCAATTTGATTCCCAGAGCAGGAAACACTTTTCCTACAGGGAAACTGAGGCCAGCATCCCAGGACCCTCCATTCGAATCGTGCGGCCCCGTTCCATCTGCCAGGAATGGCACCTCTCTGAAGACCTAATATCCTTCTGGGGCCAGTGTTGTGTCACAGCGGGTTGAGCCACTGCCTGCAACGTTGGCATCCCGTAAGGGCACTGGTCCTAGTCCTGGCTGCTCCACTTCCAATCCAGCTCCCTGCTAATGTTCCTGGGAAAGCAGCAGAAGATGGTCCAAGTGCTTGGGCCTCTGTACCCACATGGAAGACCTGGATGGAGTTCCAGGCTCCTGGCTTAGACCTGACCCATTTGGGGAGTGAACCAGCAAATAGACGATATCTATCTATCTATCTATCGATCAATCAATCAATCTTTCTATCTCTATCTCTGTCTTTCCCTCTCTGTAACTCTGCCTTTCAAATAAGCAAATCAATCTTTTAAAAAATTAAAAACAAAAGAAATCTTTCTGGTCACCAAGGCTGGAAAATCCAATCAAAGAAAATGATTTATAAATGCACTCCCTCATATCGATAGAACATTCTTCTTTGAAGTAACAAAAGTACTTCTCAGACATTATCTCATAAATCTACAGTGAATGAGAGAGAAAAAAAAGAGCATTTTCCCTTTTATTTGATAGGCAAGCAAAGTCACGAGTAAAGAAGAATGGGACTCAACTGTGGCAACCAGTCCCAATGCACTAACCCCAAAGGGCCCAGGCACCCTGTCTGCTCACCGTAAAGACAGAGACTTTGGGGGCTCTGCAGCTGGTTGAGACCTCACTTAGGACACCTGCGTGGGTATTGGAGTGCCTGGGATTCAGTCCTGCTCTCTTCCAGTTCCTGCTTCCTGCTTAACGTACACCCCGGGAGGCAGCTGATGTCCCTCCACTCACAGGAAAGATCCAGACTGGGCTATGAATTCCTGGCTTTGGCCTGGCCCAATTCCACCTGTTGCAGGCATCTGGGGAGTGAACCAACAGATGTAAGATATCTATCTATCACCCTACATACACACAAACATACACACACACACACACACATCTTTCAAATGAATAAAAATTTAAAAATAAAGAAGTGAATTGTTTAAAAAGATAGAGACCTTTCTGGCTTTGTTGCCTGATTACTTATTTGCGTCATCATTTATAGGCTACTCAACGTGTGTCAGGTCTTTACGTAGATGATGCTGTGTAATCTTCACTGTAACATGTAAGGTACTAATATTATCCTGTGTTACTGATAAGAAAACTGAAGCCTGAACAGGTTAAAAACTCACCCAGGACAGCAGAAGTAGGAAGTGATAGAACGGGCCTTTGAACCCAGGCGATTTGACGGTAGAACCGAGATTTCAAATAAATTTGTCTCCCTGAGGAACAGTCATGAAGGAGTAATGATACCTTGGAAGGAGCTAGAACTTCCTCTGAATCTCCGTTTCCGAGTCTGTGTTTTTGCGGAGATGCTGCCAGTCCTTGGGATGGCATCACAGCTCGCCGCCTAATTAGGCAAATACAAACAAACCCATCACTGATGTTTTCAGCAGCTCATGAGAGCGAAATCCTGCTGCTGATCGCTTGCGAGACAACAAAAACACTAGCTCCAGCCAAGATGCCTGCAGGGAACCAGGGACTAATCACCAGACAGCGGGATCCAGAGGCTGGGTTGCCAGGGCCGCGGGCTGCTCTGGGAGCAGCAGCTGCAGGGAGGGCGCTGGACTTGACCCACTTCCAGGCCCTCATCCTGGCCCTGCACGGAGCAGGTGTAGCTTACCTGGGCTCCAGGAGAGGCAGTGCTCTCTGGGGTGCACCCGACAGCCTTGTGAGCATTTTTGGTCAGGTCAGCGCAGCTGTAGGAGCAGAACCATTAACGCCATAGAGACATGAGCCTGAAGGGCTCAGCTGCCCAGGGAGCACCCACAAACCCCAGCCGCCTGCCTTGACCAGGGCCAGGTATTAGTGGCCCGTGGTGCCACCCACCCTGTAGAAGTCCTGCCCTACCTCCAAAGACCTTGGCCTTAGAACTCACTAGTCCATTCTTTCATCCAGTGTAACGATCAACTCAGCAGCACCCCTGAGAGGCGATCGTCCAAACTCTGCTTGAATCCAGCTGGTGGCGGGCACCTCACTACCTTCTCTGAACAGTTACAATAGTCTAGAATGTTCTAAAGCCCTGCCCCTGCGTGTGGGTGCTGGTGCAGCTTCAGGAACTACAGGAAGACGTTTCACTCATCCAAAGAGACTTTGGCATATTTGAAATCTTTGACTCTTCCTCTCATCTTCTCTTTAAAAGACGAAGGCTGGGCATTAAGCCTAGTGGTTAGGATGCTAGTTGAGACACCCACATCCCATATCAGAGTATTTGGGTTCAATACCCAGCTCCATCTCCTGAGAGGCATCAGGTGATGGACCAAGGACTTGAGATCCCTGCCACAAATGCAGGAGACCCGGGTTGTCCTGGTTCCTGGCTCCACCCCTCGCCCAGCTCCAGCTTTTGGGGAGGTCAAGCAGCGGATGGGAGCTAGCTATCTCCCGTAAATAATTTTTTTCTAAAATACAAAGAGGCCAAATGTGGCCATTCTTCTCCTCTTCCTATGACCCATTTCTGCCAACTCCCACTGCCCCAGGAGGCACTTCAGACTGAGGAGCCTCTTGCAAATGCCGGAGGGCAGAGGGCGGTGGGAGCAGAGGAGCCGAGGGGAACGGGACAGGGAGGAGCACCAGGGTCGGGTACAGCTGGAAGGTGAACCCTGCCAGGCGCAGGGCCCCAGACGCAGGCAGCCGGGGTCCGCCCACCAGCCCCAGCGTAAGTGGGCATTTATATTCAGCCTTGCACAGCAGCAGGAACACTGATCAATGATTTATCATCCTCAAACTTTTATTTATCTATTATTCATCGCCAGTGGTCTGAGGGCCCAAAAATTCCTAAGTGTCCCGAGTGCCCCCTAAGTGCTTAATCAGGCTCTGGGGGTGCAGGGCGGGCGATGGGAATGATGAGAACAGGGTGACCGAGGTCCTGGGCACGGTCTGCAGGCCGCGTTCTCTGCCTTCCGTCCATCCTGAAACGGAAACCTCTCCGGGAGTCTCTCTCAATCCTCTTCTGCAAATTCTTCTTTCTTCTTCCTTCCCCTCTTACTGTCTCCCCTCTCTGAATCTCAACCTGAGCCCCTCTCTCTCTCTCTCTCTCTCTCTCTCTCATAAATAAAATTAATATACTTTTAGATAAACAAAAAAAGTAAAATTTTTTAGGGAAGCAGCACGCATGCGCACACACAACACGCTGCCCAGCACCCTGGGAAAACTCTTGCTTCTGTGCTGGTTACTAAGCGATTAGGGCCCCGAGTGGTCACCTGCCTGGCCAGCCTCGGAGGCCGGCCGCTGCTCAGGTCTCCTGCGCTGGGCCTGTTTGTCAGACACCTCTGCTCCCCACCTGGCCCAGCTCCCCTGATCTCTGTAGGGAAGTTTTCAAGTTTCTGCTTTTCCTTACACAGGGGAGTATTGGAGTCCATGAAATAAGCTAGCAATAGACCATTTCAAAGGTAAAAGAACGTAGAAATTAACACACAGTAGCGCGGGAGCCACCCACTAAATATGAGACACAAAGAAAAGCCAGAGAGGCGAAGCATCAACAGCATTCGGTCCCCAGGAAGAATTGGGGGCATCGGGCTGCTGCGGGGGAGAGGGGTGGGGACACAAGTTCCCAACGACAAACGGAAGCAAAGTCATCTTTTTTTTTTTTTTTTTTTTTTTGACAGGCAGAGTGGACAGTGAGAGAGAGAGACAGAGAAAGGTCTTCCTTTTTGCCGTTGGTTCACCCTCCAATGGCCGTTGCGGCCTGCACACCGCGCTGATCTGATGGCAGGAGCCAGGTGCTTCTCCTGGTCTCCCATGGGGTGCAGGGCCCAAGCACTTGGGCCATCCTCCACTGCACTCCCTGGCCACAGCAGAGAGCTGGCCTGGAAGAGGGGCAACCGGAACAGAATCCGGCGCCCCGACCGGGACTAGAACTCGGTGTGCTGGCGCCGCAAGGCGGAGGATTAGCCTAGTGAGCCGCGGCGCCGGCCGCAAAGTCATCTTACTATGCACATCAAGTGTTCCGGGTTACGGTCATCAAGGGCCCCCTTGGTCACCTCTGCGGGGACCAGGTATCAAGATCTTCCCTAGGCCCGGGACGAGGAGGTAGATAGGAAGGCCCTGCCTGCATCCCCTGTTTGCTGGACGCAGATGCCTCTCTGTAAAAGGACAGCTCTCCCGGGCAGTTCGGCTCTGCGCAGCACCCCGAGTGGACATAGCCTGGGCCAGTGTCTCTGCAACTGTGCTCCCATCTCCCTGCTCTGCCTGTCTCTCCCCAGGTTACCCGCAGTACCTGGTGGTGGGCAACCACCTGTCGGGGGAGCACCACCTGAAGATCCTGCGGGCGGAGCTGCAGGACGACGCCGTGTACGAGTGCCAGGCCATCCAGGCTGCCATCCGGTCCCGCCCCGCGCGCCTCACCGTGCTAGGTAAGAGCCGCCCGCACGCCGCACACCCAGGCTCAGCCCCCGGAAGGGCTCCCCCTGCCAGGCTAGGGGGAGCACAAAGGGGCAGCGTCCCCTGGGGCTCCAGACACGCTCCTCCTCTGGCCTCCAGGGTGCACACGTCCCTCTTCCCACCAGAGGGACGGCTCCTGCCCTTGGAAGTGGGAAGGCCAATGTCATGTGACCTACAACTCCGTCCAACCCCTGCTGTGTGACTGCACCTTGGGGAGAGAATGAGGACTCCTAGGAGCTTGCTTACTGCATTGACAGTGTGCTCTGTGCCCATGTTGGAGGCAGGACCCATGCCAGACCCTGGTGGAGGGGGACAAGGAAGGATGGGGCAGGGTCCCCGAGTCTTGTTTCTGAACTGATCCCCCCAGGTGCCAACAAAGCCCTCTCTGTCCACCTCCCCTGCAGAACGAGCCTCAAGCCTGCTTCCCCTAGTGACTCACAGGGATACCTGTGACCCCTGCTCCTTCCCCCACCCTCCCCAGCTCCCCAGGAACCCTGGGAAAATTCACTTTAAGCCCTTCTTGCAGATCAGCCCTTTCTGCACCTTGGCCCTGCAGGAGGCTAGTGTCCGCCATCCCCTGCCGAGGTCCCCGCTCCTCCACTGAGGCAGACGTGCCTGGTGTTAGGGTCTGGGCTCACTCACCACCCTCCTAAACTGCCTGGTTGTGATTTAGAGTCCAGTGCTGCCCGTCTACCTCCCCTAGCCAGACGTTACTGAGGAGCAGGGCCCTGGGAACCAGGCCTTGCCCATCAGTGATCATAGCTCCCATTTGCAAAGCAGCTGCCAGCCGCTCTCAGAGTGCCTTCCCGCGTGCATGGTCTCGGCTGTTCCTGACGCTCCTGTGTGGGCCGGGGAGGGCTCCCCAGACCAGAAATGGGGGCTCTGAGAAGCAAAGGGCTCCTCGCACCACCTCACCATCTCCATCTGCTGGAATCTCTCCCAGGCATGCTTTGGGGATTGTGCAGGGGCAGCCAGAGAGGGAAGACCCAGGCAGATGCGAGGAAGCTTGCACAACAGGTCGGCAGCTGGCCCCGGCCTCGTGCCTGGTGGATCCGGCGCGTGCTGCTCAGAGATGAAATATTTAAGAGGGTGTCAGGTTATCTTCAGATCTACACAGCCAAAGATACCAGGGCGAGGGGAAGGCAAGCACTGTAGCCGTGGGGCCCCGGAGGACCACTTAGCAAGCTCAGAGCCCAGTTTCTTGAGACCAGACCCTCCCCCCGACCCGTGCATCCCCTCCAGCCTGCAGCATTCAGCCGGGGAAGAAGGATAAATAAGCTGGAATGCCCAGGCCTTCCCTTGGAGTCAGCAGGGACATTCCAGGGAGCAGCGGCCCTCCAGCCTCCCCTGAGACAGGACTGAAATGGAAACTAGTCTTCAGTTTAGCGTGGGGCTCTAGGGAGGCGGCGGGGTGGGGGGAGCACTGAGGGCATGATACTGTTTCTGATTTTGAGGACTGCAAAATGCCAGGTCAGATCTGCTAAGGGAGGTCGTGGGATCCCTGTCCCCTGAGACGGCTCAGGCCACCAGCCTCAGGAAACTGCGCCCACTGCTTCCGACCCTGCTCCGGGGTCAGAACCCGAACGCCATCCACAGCCTCAGCTTCACACGATGCCTGAAGTATGAGGGTGTCCCCCACAGTTCCTGAAAAAATGCAGTTGACAGAGAAGTGAATTTTGGTCCAACAAAAAAATGTTGATCCACGCACCGTTTTCTTACAAGATGCATTTCCATAAACTTTACTGAAGATCCCCACCTATACACGATATTAAAGCTTTTAGCACCAAAATAGATTTCCCTTGTAATTCCATTTCCACACTGTCTTTGAAGGCCCCTTGGAGACAGACTCGTACCCTCGTATCCCACCCACCAGCCACACCCGGCCACGTTCCCCTCCTTCCCCTCTGCTACTCTGATAGACAGCACAGTCCGGGGTTTGGGATATCCAAATTCGCCTATATGTCGTACAGGTCAGCAAATCCAGACTCAGAGAGACAAAGACATTCCCAGGAGGCCACACAGCTTCGTTAGCATTCAACATCAAGTCCAGATTTGCCAACCAAACCCATGCTCTTTGCCCAGCGTCCGGTCCCCAGGGCCAGCAGCGTCGTATCAGTCTGGATGCTGAGGAACCAGGCTTCTCAGAGCAGGGAACAGACCTGACGTTGTCTTCGGTCGCTGAATCTAAGAGGCATTGGCTGTCCTGTGGCCTGGCCTGGCACTGCCCTCTGGGCACAGAGCCGGGTTTTGGGGAGGGATGTTTATTCAGGTCTGGAGAGCAGCTGAAGGAGGGGAGGCAGAGCTCCAGGGGTTCCCCACAGCGTGTCCTCCGTGGAAGTCCAGACAGCATCTTGTCCATTGGCATTCTATGCAAGCGCAGCCTCAGGAGGGAAGAGCTGCCCCAGGCTCTGCCTCTGGTTCTCCCTGGCTCCTTGGGGGGCCCTGGCACCCCACCCTGGCTGGCTGAGCTGGCCTGGGTGCAGAGTGCCACCCTGGGGGCAGTGGATGAACAGAGAGGCTGTGCGGGCCGAGGGGAGAGAGGCATTCTCCACCCTGCCCGCCGCTTCCTTCCCAACCAAGACCCCATCTGCTCTACAGTGACATCGCAGCCCAGGAAAATGTTCCAGCCAGATCCCCAAGAGAGCTGCCTTGCCCATGTCCCAGGAACGAGAGAGCTTCCTAATTTAGTCTGTATTTGCCTGAGATAGATTTTTTAATTAAATAAAGTAAGAGCCTGATTAGAACCTGCGGAAGATGGAGAGCAGAATCAGATGGTATTCAGGCAGAACCGCAGAGCAAACACTTTGACTGGAACAGAGGGAGGCCCGTGGGGGTCTCCCATCAAAGCACCAAGTGAGGAGGGCAAATACTAGAGATTATATAGCCAGCAGATGTGTGTTGTTAAAATATGCATCTGCCTACAGCGACAGCGTGCTCAGAGAAGCCAGAGGGCTGGCTCACAGAGCCTCCTGGGAGGGCGTGGGGACCCGCCCGGCAGCCAGGCCTACAGTCACAGACACATTAATTAGCATTGCGTTTCCAGCTCTCAGATGTAATCAGACAAGGAGCAACCTGGAGCTGAGCATGGACTACCCTGGGAGGCAGAAGGGAGGGAGCCAGCCAGTGAGGAGGGGAGGATGGGGGGTGGGTGGAGCTGGCAAAGCCGAAAGAGGCCAGCCTGGGGAGCCCCCAGTCCAGGGTCACAGTCAGCCGTGTTCCCTGGGGGACCAAGCTGGCTGCCAAGGGCCAGGTGGCAACGGGCATCTCTGTCCACCATAGATCAGCTCAGGAATCATGGTGTTGCAGAGAGAAGCTGCACACTTAAGTAGTCTTGGTCCCATCCCCAAGCAGCTGTGTGATCTTGGGTGCTGATACTCAACCTCTCTGGTTCTCAGTGAGCTTCCTGGGAGAACGAGAGGTGATAATGGAGAAGATGATCTCTCAGAATTGTCCAACTTCCACAGTAAGGAGGGCAACGTGCTGCACCAAGCATTTTAGGAAAATGGGCCTCTCCCCCTGGAACCTGGACTCGTGTGGTGACCAAGGTGCAGAGGGTAATGGTTTAGGAAGTTTAGACGGCATCCCACTTTGAGGCTAGGAGATGACACCACTCAGAGTCCCACCCAGCCCTTGGGTTCTGCACTAAACTCGATACCTCAACCCCAGGTGCTCCCTCTGTGTTCAGCCTCCTCCGTGCAGAGTGGAGGTGTCCTAGGCAGAGCTCTGGGCTAGGGAGCAGAGCGCCCTCTTGTGGCTGATCCACTGTGTGAACTTGGGCAAGGATCTTAGGGCTGGAACTGGGTCTCTGGTTCAACCATGTAACCAGTACTTAGTACAGGGCACATACAGTATGCAGTGATGTTTGGAGTTTTTTAATTGAATGAATAAATGGATTTTCTGGTTCCTCAAGTATAAATGGTGACTATAAAAATATTGATCTCATAGAACTGTGAACATCACACACGCACGCACACTGCTCCGGGGCGGCCAGAACTCTAAGGGTGGCTCTGCTCTTGCTCTGTCCAGCTGCCTGAAGGCATGAGAAGCCAGCAAGGGAAGGGCTTGGGGCAGGCAAGAAAACGGGTAACCCGAAGGTTGGATGGAGAACTACGTAGGAGCCCCCTTATTAATGTACTGATCTAGGCCCTGGGAGTTCATCAACGAACAACAGAGAAAGCCAGCCCTGCCCTGGAGGAACTTGGGTTCTAGCAGGGAGTGAGACGCTCGATAAACCATCGACAGGTAGAGTGCGTCCTTACGTAGTAATACAAGCTGTGGGAAAGCAGCATGGGGCGGCTGGCAGTGGGGGAAGAGGGATCAATTGGCATATGAAGAATGAAAAGGGGCATTTTTCCCAATCTTTCTCCCCATTCCCTTCCTCCTGGCCCATTCTAATATTAACTGTGCTGCCTTGTGGCTACTACTAGAAATAAAATTTCCTAAATCAGCATGGATTATTTTAGATGGAAGCTAAGTCAATTCAAATGAAGACAGTGTCTTTTAAAAGGCTGTCAAGCCCCTGATCCTGAGCAGGGTCAACAGATAGGGTCCAATCTGGCATGCTACCTTAATGTGCTCACTTCTCAAAAAACACAAGCTCCCGTGGCCACCTCCCTCCCGGGAGAGCTGTGGGGTTTCTGATGTCCATGGCATTGCTGGCAGCCCCCAGCCCCCAGTACTCAAGCCTTCTGGGTAGAGGGGCCTGGAGGTGAGCAGTGAGGAACTCAGGGTCTCACAGCAGGCGAAGGCAGAGATGAAAAAGAGCCGCAGGGTGCCAGCTTCTAAGCTGTTTGTGCAAAATCTGGTTGTTGGGCAGTCACTCATGGTCGCCCTGACAACCAAAGGCAGGTACGCAAGGCCTAGTGAGCAGAGCCCAAGCTCCTCCCTGGCACACCAGGCCTTCCTGGACCCACCGTCAGCCCCCTCCGGCCCCAGCCCGCCACTCACCTGCTCCAGAGATAGCAACCACCTC